AAAAGAAGTGACGCGTACGGAGTATCAAATCAGCACAGATGGAAAATTTCCATACAATGAAAGACGCTCTATGGAACCATCAATAACTCCCTCTTTACACTCCCTGCACGCTAAGGCGTATACTTATAGCCCCGTACAGGGTGGACGAAAATCGTAATACTACTGAAATGGGAGCGATTCTTGACGTGAATATAAATCGAATATGTGGTAAAAAGTTTTCGTGAAAAGTGGTAAAATAATTGATTTTGTACGCGTATATTTGAAGCTCGCGCGCGTTGAGCACGTGTTTAATGTGTCCGACCATTGCTCGCTATTTCTACTTCTATCGATGTTTTTTAACCTTGTTAGTGGTAATATCCGGTATTATCTACAGTTTTACCATTTTCAAACCAGTTAAAACCCAGCTAGAACGATATCATCGTCACTGTTTATAAACACAGGTACAAGTAGAAATAGTCAATAATAGTCAGACGCGTCCGGCAAGTCGTACCCTTGTCGGAATGACTTATTTTATTCCATACTTTTACTGAATTTTTACTCCACTCTGTATACTGTGGGACCCTTCATAGTGTACGTAGATCGAAATATCTTCTTGTCACTCGTGTCACGTACGAGATCCTCCTCCTTACTTTTTCGCGGTTGGTGTTACGACCCTCCCTTCCGTGAAGTTTCTCCCCATCTCTTCGTCGATTCTTTACAACCGAAGATCGATTGAACAAGCACGTGGAAAGCAATTAATCTACAGTGTCTGTTTATACGTTGCAGCATCTTCGCGGGAAACACCTACGTAATGTTAATTATTTTCGACGTGAAAGTTTCAGTTTTTCAGTGGCGCCTTGCGACTGATTTACCGCACAAATAGCGCCATAAATTTGAACGAATCGCTGAACCATGTATTACCTATCAGAAATACTCGAGAGATATTTTACACGCAGGATGTCTCTATTAGAAAAAGATATTTCCGTTACTTTTAATGATACGTGGAAATACCCAAGGAACAAATTGTTTGATCGAAATAATAACCAAGCTTAAAAAAATGCTGAAATAATGAATCTATAATGCTGTCCGCGAAAGGAATGCTGTTTCGTGACCAAACGACGTTGAAATGGTAACTAGTAATTCATATCGATCTGAGCCATGCTATTTAAAGCCAAGTCATGTTTCTTAAACTACTCGCTACAAAGATAATGTGCCACAGATACGAGCTAATCTATTTTTCAGTACAATAAAATATTCTCTGTATTATGTATCATCGATAACACTGTTTCAGAAGGAAAGAAACGATCATGCTTCTATGTTTCTCGTGTTCCGAAATTTTTATCGTACAGTATACGTGACTTCTGGCATAGCGTGACAAAGAATGCTTAAATACTTTGGCCCTAATGGTGCTAATAATAAAAGTTAAAAGGACAGAATGCGCAATAATGCACGAATTTAGATATCAGTCTTCCTTGGTACGATAGTTCCCTGTACGTATTGAAAACATTCGTTCAATAAAATGAGGTAGGCACACGACAAAATTGTACGCGAACATACGAGCCAGTACATGGACGATACTCGTCGATCGATGGACAGCTTTCATGATAGAGCAATGACACGTTACTAAAGATAGCTTAAGCATAGACCCGGATTTATTGTTTGCGGCAAATATCTATGCTTTGCTTTCTGGTAGACGACGTTGGTGTGTACGTATCGTATAAGAGCATCGAAGAGTTAATTATAACTCTAGGTACTTTGAAGCATCTCTCCTTTATCGCGTACTCAAGATTCAAAGGTACCCTTATGTTTATTATTCGGATAATTTTAGATATCTTTATGTGTTCATAAATCTCAATCTATCGCGATAATCACTATTATTTTTCATCGAATAATTTTGATGTATGCGGTGTACGTTGTAAAATCGTCGCGTTTATTACACAGTATTTGTTCCCCTTTACTACTCGAGTCCAGTAAAATTGTTTTTCATGTTTATTATGCTTCAGGAACCATGTAATTATATATTTTTCTTATAGCAAGTTTCAAAGTTTGAACGTAACCTGTGCAATGCATGAGCAATAACTTTACAGTAGTTTTTACACCCAGAATGCTCCAAGGAAATGATTTATGTAAATAAATCAGGAAGTTCCGTATAAAAAAACAGTGTAACTGAACTTTGCAACAGCACCGATGCACTTGGAAGAAAAAACGTATCATAGGATAATATAGGCAATTAAACCATGTTCCTCTATACTATTCTATCATCACTTGGAATAGAGCTATAGTCTGACCCAGTTACGAGGCCTATCCTATGGATGCAAATGAATATTAAAACTATGCTACATTCAATACATTTATAATGGAGTTAAGAGTATAATGAAATAATAAGAATAATTGTAAATTAAAATGTAGATGCTGGAAGAGTTCAAATATTTAGAACGAAGATATTAATATTAGGTTATTAAAAGCGTGATCTAAGGAGCTATGACAAAACGAAACGAAGGGGACAGCGAGTTCAAATCTTTTAGCGACACACTAAGACCCGAATTGTCTTTGATCTTACGACTGTAATATACTTCTCCAGCAAGGAGACGTGAAGACGAACGAGTGAAAGTAACAAAGGATGTCTGCTCGTGAGAGCTCTCCGATATCAAAAGATAGACCTCGTTTATTTCAAAACCCATTAGTTTTCGAACTAAATTACTGCAGTAAAAAACGACGAAATATTAGCAAAAAATTTCTATAATGATGGTAGTATTGCGTGGTAAGATTATACAGAGTGTTCGGCCACTCCTGGGAAAAATTTTAATAGGAGATTCTAGAGGCCAAAATGAGACAAAAAGCAAGGATACTAATTTGTTGCTTGAGACTTCGTTAAAAAGTTATAGAAGCATTTCCGGCCACTCAGTATATTTTCGGTAAAGAATTTTTTTCTCTGAAGTGCGTAGGATTTCGGGAGTATGTGTATTCACCAAACATGATTGTAATTGGCCGAAAAATTTGTTCATCTTCCTGAATTTTTTTCTCGAAAGTGCGTAGGATTTCGGGAGTATGTGTATTCACCAAACATGATTGTAATTGACCCTCGCAACCAAAAATAATTTTTCCAGAACGATTTGAAATTTTTTAATTTCGCCGAAAAATTTGTCCATCTTCCTGAATTTTTTTCTCGAAAGTGCGTAGGATTTCGGGAGTATGTGTATTCACCAAACATGATTGTAATTGGCCGAAAAAATTTGTCCATCTTCCTGAATTTTTTTCTCGAAAGTGCGTAGGATTTCGGGAGTATGTGTATTCACCAAACATGATTGTAATTGGCCCTCGCAACCAAAAATAATTTTTCCAGAACGATTTAAAATTTTTTCATTTCGCCGAAAAATTTGTTCATCTCTCTGAATTTTTCTCTCGAAAGTGCGTAGGATTTCGGGGGTATGTCTATTCACCAAAAATGATTGTAATTGACCCTTGCAACTAAAAATAATTTTTTTAGAACAATTTGAAATTTTTTAATTTAATTTTTTAATAACTTTTTAACGAAGCCTCAATCAACAAATTGATATTCTTGATTTTCGTCTTATTTTGGCCTCTAAAATCTCCCATTAAAATTTTTCTCAGGGTGGCCGAACACTCTGTATAATAAACTCGTGAATCTCGCTATGACAAAATCTATTAGAATTTTGTAATATTCTACATATAATGTAATTCCAAAAGCCCATCATTATTTCGTTTATTTAACAAGCGTTCATTGTAATTTTGCGCTTATACGATAAAATTATGCGGGTATAAATATAGTGTAAATATATAATGAATCAAAATAATGTTTCACGAGTGATCATAAACTAATAGGATCAGTATACATAATTAACAAACTTGTGTTGTATATTACGACGTAGTCAGAATCGTTAATGGTATACATGTTTTCATTATTATCTTACAAAGTTGTAAAGTCAGAAGCTAAAATTCTGCGAAGACTGTTACGACTAAAAGAAAGTCTAACGATGACAATAAACTTGAAACTCTTGTAATCAAAAGATATACATTATTTTGATTCATTACATAATGATGGAGCAGAAAAATCAATTTCTATTACACAGTCTAAATATACTTGATCCACGGGAGAATATTTAATCAAAGTTTTTTCTTAACTGATTAGGCCGGAAAGCTCATTACAAATATCTCGCGAAACATCAGAAAACCCATTTACGATCGAGAAAACCTGTTCTTGAGATATTACCTCGTTATGACACTAACAGCAGCTTCAATTTACTTTCTATATTAAAGGTCACTCGATTATCTTAATAAACGATTTTAACTGAACCAATTATCGTTTGAAATGATGATATTCAAATTAGAAGATTCTTTTTTGAAAATATATTTCTATTTTTAGATATTTCTATTATTAGAGAATCTAGAATTGCTTAAAGGGGGAAAGGAGGCTAATAAAAAATTTCTGTAGCCTTTTCGTCTTCTACGGATAAATATTCAAGCAACTTCAACCCCGTCTGCGCTCACTTGTCGCAACGAAAATCTGTTTCGCGTGGAACCACAAGTTAGCATACTGTAATCTCCATAAAGACTTCGTTTCTGCTTCAAAGACCGTTCACTACGTAAGCATCGGAAATATTTATTCGATGCATTTCTCTCGAGATGCATTCTTCAGAAGGGAAGGATCAAGGTAGATTTGTTACGACTCGCACCTATCGCACCGTTACACTGCGAGCGTTGTATCAAGCTCATCGCTTAAGGCAAATTGCGCTATGAATAACGAACCATGCTGGCCGAGACCTTGACGCTTTCAGACAGCATTTACCGAACTGACCCAGAACTTCGTTCGGGTTAAAGGTTTAATCTCAGAATACAGTGACTGGAAAGACAACGCCCACGTGATCGTTGACACGGCAAAAACTACTAATACTATTTCAATACTTTATTATTCACAAAGTATTCGTGCATTCGGTGCACTGATTAAATACATATCTGAGTTTCTTTACTATCGATACGTGAAAGTGAATTTTCTGTTGCAGGTGATACTCGTGAAGTGGAACGAGCCTTACCAGAAGTTGGCATCGTGCGACAGTTCCGGCGTAATTTTCGTGTGGATCAAGTACGAAGGAAAATGGAGCATAGAACTGATCAACGACAGAAGTACTCCAGTCACGCATTTCTCTTGGTCGCACGACGGACGGATGGCTCTCATATGCTACAGGGTAATTCTACTTATCGAACTTCGAATATTTCATACCAATGGATGCTCCTCGAGGGTTTCGATTTCAGCAAGCTCGCTTAACGAAAGGGATTTATAGAGTGCATATCAGTCTCTTGACAGTGAATCGCGTAGCACCTGGATTGGGTCCAACTGATAACGTTGTTTCCACTTGTGAATCTCGAAACCCACCGTAGACAATATCAAAAGCACAAAGGGCTTTATTAACAAAACTATGACACGTTGAGCTAACGGACGTAAAATTGATTTTATGGAGTACTTTTAGAATTGGCATGTGGCAGCATCAGGAAATAAATATTGAATTTCTAACCGAGGACGGTCGAATGAAAATACATCTTATTGGCTGTATGCAAAGCGAAACGATTATTCATTCCGGGAGACTATGTATACGCGCGGCAATACAACTTAGATCTGAAATAAAATGCAAACTGTAGTGTACGTGTGTGCTCTGAATTTAAAATCGAGCACGCTGAATTATTTATGCGCTCGGTAAAGATCCTGTCCTTCTTTTTCGTTAAATAAGTTTCTATATTGAAAGGCTCGGATGAAAGAATATAAGGGCATGACATATGATGCACGTTTCCTGGATTTTATAAATAAATGTCACCGGATCGTAAGAATAGATAAAAATTTGTTTCGTTGAAGTTGCTCAAGGCTGTCGATCAGACTGTAAATTAATACAATTATTTTGTAACTGTTACAGCGTATCAACCGAGTACCCCAGTCAGTTATATTCGAATTTTAGTGTACGGCCCGTGTTTTAACTTACTTTACCACAATTTGGAACAAACGAAATAAATTAATCGTATTTCATTGCAGGACGGTTTCGTACTGGTTGGCAGCGTTGCTGGTCAAAGGTACTGGTCATCGATGTTGAACGACAAGGCTACGATCACCTGTGGTATTTGGACACCAGACGATCAGCAGGTAAATTATACTTTCGTGCTTGGAAACAAAAATTTCTTTACATACGAAACAGTTCAAATTCATACGTGGAATATGATACTTTGATATCTGCTTCTAACCTTGCGATACCCACGTTATTATAGCGTAGTATTACACTCGATCATAGTTGTCAAAGTTTCATTACAATGTAAAAACATTCTCGATGCCAGTGACAAATTATCCCAGTAACGACGTCATTTGTATCAATAAAAGTATATCCATACAAATTTGCTATCTAATTTGTATGACGTAGAAGTGCTAACAAATAGATGTCTATAAAAAAAGATTCGTTTCTATAAGGATCGAAAGATGCTTTAATATTTTTTATGACGATGTGACATTGATACACCTTGATATAATTACCAAACTTGTTTATCACTCTTTGCCCATACAATATTAATACCGATGTCAACAGGTATATTTCGGAACGACGGCAGGGCAATTAATAGTAATGGATGTTCATGGAGCGATGGTATCGGAGGTACAATTAGCAGCTGGTGTCACTTCGATGGCTTGGAGCGCCGAAAAGTTTACGATGGAAGAAGGAGATGACGATTTATCGAACGATAGATCCCACAGAGGTATCGATGATCTCGCATAGTACCTTATAAAATGATACGCTCGAATAGGTGAATTTTAAAGAGACGAACGACAACTTTAAAGCGACTTTGCGTATACTTTTATCGTTACCTCGATACGAACACACCTATACTATACTTTTAATAGAAACAGTACTTAAAAACTTTTTAATAGCTCATTTTCGAGGCAGTCGACATTAAACGAGTGAAAAGGATCAAAGTGTACGCGATAGTTAGCTTTATAATGAGACAAAATCAAGTGGCTGCTGAAAACCATCGAAAGCTTACCACCATAATATTGATTGGCAACTCCTTAGATTTCTACCTATTCGTAAAATATCCTATTTAAATATTTTCACATTTCCTTGAATGGAAATTTTTAAATCCCTCCTGCTTTGAACGAACTTTTCTGGATCGTAGACTGACGTACTTTAAAGTTTTATAACTTCTTTAATGGTTTTTCTTTTTTGATCAGACTCCATCATAATTTATCATTCTGTTATGCTAAAGAAAATGCGAATAACTTCGAATACTTGTTTCCAACGTGCTATTCGTATCACCTTCCAATTTTTTAACGCAAATGATTGTAATTCATACAGTTCAACGATTTGAAAATTCGTTAGCTGCACGCTAACCCCCCGGAAACACAATTGGTATTCTAGGGTTAAACATTAGGATCGTTAGGGAACCGAAAGCGACGTTATTCAAATATTCTTGAAGTAACTTTGTGGCGTCTGCTTACTTTATCAATAATTCTCCCGCGAAGTTCGTCTCCCGCGATTCATTATTATCGTCGGAAGGGAGAATCAAAATAGGATAATTAAGGGAATGAGAAATACGTATTTGCAGACGACCGGAATTACGTGCTAGCAGTCTGCCTCGCCGATGGCAGTATCGTCATGCTGCGATCATTCGATGACGTATCGCCCATAACGATACGTACGAACCTAAAGGCGCCGTTGCACGCTGAATGGAGTAATTCCAGAAAATTGTTAGCGATCGCCGGTACGAAAGATTCGGATAGCCCTCAGAGCAGCCCCCACGAGTACACGAATCTTCTAAAATTTTATTCAGTCACCGGTGCCCTTGTCTACACTACGGCGATACCGTACACGCAAGTACGTATATTTTTAAACGAACGTTTGTCTACACTAGAGAGCCGAAAAGATTGTTCCTAGATTAAATTTAGATTTAGTGACCAGAGGTATTGACTAATTAGCAAGATTTCATATCGTTAAGAGTAAAGTTAGATTTATCTCGTACCGTAAATATCACTCAAGGCAATCTTTATAGTTCCATCGTGAGTAATCGTGAGATATTTCGATCGTAACGCCTGTTATTTTTTCCCTTATCGATATCAGTGCGCGGTATCGGCGCTCACGTGGGGCCACAACGACAGAAGACTTTTCGTGGCGACCGGAGCACGCGTCCACGCGGCGTGGGTGTCAAGGTAATTCGCATTTCTCCGCGTAGATACTTTTATCTTCGCCGTTTTCGTACAAAAAGTGTCTGAGACACGATGCATTAACTCAACAGGCGCGTAGGTTCGCTGCAGTTGTTATCTCGCTTGGCTGTAAGAGCAGCTCTGACAAGGGAGTCCTGTGTTCAGCAACTTCCATTGCCACCGAGATTAAGAGCATCCGTGGCCGCACTTTTTGCTAGTACAATAAGGTAAGACAATCCGAATTTTGTCTAAGATAATTTTGTTCCCTGAACTTCACTTTCCAGTAAGCCCCGCAATTAAGCTAACCCAAACCTTTTCAACGAGTTCTCCACAGCAGGAATTTCCAAACTTTTTCAACTTTATACCTTCTCCATCAGTTTTTTATTTACTTTACACACACACATATACATATATAAATCGATAACGTAACTGCAGGCAACAAAATTGTATTCTACATTTTCGATTTATTTTTGTGGGTAGAATCACTTTATCGATTATGCCACTCGACGCGAGAAATACGCGCGACACTGCTGTATTGGTTATCACTGGGTCATCTTTTAATAAAATCCGACTAACAGTTTATTGAAATACAATCGATATTTGAAAGCGTCACCTCCGCATAAACTTTTGGTCAAGTTGGTAAAAATAAAGATATCGAAGTAAAAATATTAATTATTCAAACACTGAACGACTTGGTAGTCAACGTGTTAAAAAACTCTTCAGAACAAAATTAAATTGTTGTAAGAGGTAAACATAGTAATAGGAAATAAATTTTTTTTATGATCATCTTTTTCGAGATTTTAAGGCCATCGATGGTTTTTTATATGTTTCGTATATGCTCTTACACAGAATAAACTAACAAATTCAACGATCTGTGATAATGCATACATACTTTCATTTTAATAACGCATCTTGAAGCTTCATCGGGTGTTTAATGGCGACCATTATGTCCAATCGGGAAGTTTGAAACCATTTTAATCATTGTACGATGAACCTGATTTATTGGTACCCGGCTGTAAATTTAGAAAGTTATTATCACGGTAAAAGTCTAATAGCATGACATCCGGGGAGACCACTTTCCAGTTTCTTGTCTTTCGATCCGATGTCGTGTAAAATCGATATCCAATATTACTCTTGCTATTCTAGAGTAATATGCTAGGTACCCGTCATGTAGAAGCCACGTGCATTCTCTATTATTCAGTGGAATATCGATATGTGCATCAATTACGCCGCAGAAAGTAGAAAACCTGTATAGGTCATTGATTAGGAGGTTACAATTGTACATTACTATCAATGGTCGCCATTTTCAGCCCCTATTCAGGGTATGTTAACCTTCTTAGACCTCGCGATATGTGTGCATTATATTTTAATATCATAATTTTTTTTATACATAATAAATGCTAATAAAATTATGTAACATTTCCTATTACATTTACAATTTATTCAAAACTGCTTCAAAAAAATACCTAAAATTTAGGTTCCTAAAGTAAAAAATCGTTGAATTTTCTTGCTTATCCTCTATATAGATATATAAACAAGTATACCATTACATTTAAAAAAATATCAATAACTAAAATCTCGAAAAGAGTGATATCTTGCATGTCGTTGCGTTTGCCCCTTTCGATCGATTCAACTTTGTCTTGAACGATTCTTTCGTATAACAAGAAAATTAAAAAGAGAATTTATCTATTTTTATCGAACGTCTTTGTTTAACGTCTTGAACATCTTGATTTTAGATGTTCAGTACCAGAACCAAGGGAACTGAGGCGTTTCGTGTCGCGTCCGCCCCCAGGAGGAGGAAGATTACACTGCACTATGCTCAGACACGCCGTGGAACCCGTTCCTTGTTACACATTATATTTAGAATATTTAGGTGGGCTAGTGCCGCTTCTAAAGGGCAGAAGAACGAGCAAAATCAGACCGGAGTTCGTAATATTCGATCCCCAAAGCCAGGACACCCTCCAAGTTTACGAAGACACGTTGCAATGTCCATCGTTCAGCGATGGATCGGATACGGAGAGGGACACAGCCGACTTGTGCGGATCGCCTAGGAACAAAAGGAAAAACAGACGGAAACGAGAAGAGAAACTGAACGAGGAGAGCGACGACCTTACATACGTAGACACGTTACCCGAGGTAACATATTCATTTCATGTTTATAAAATAAGAATGGACTCGATGTATTTCGAATTTCATATAGAAAGACAGACTTTCCGAAACATGGTCAAAGTTTAAACAATCGCTTTATCAACATTCTCAAAATGAGTATAATTAATTGCATATATAAAATAATGTTAACGTGTGAATAATACACACATTTTGAGAATTTCTGCTATAATTGATTTCATTTACATTAATTCTTTTCTTCCGAGATAATGGAATTTATTTTACTTTCTTCGCTAACCGTCTCTTTAGGCTGATTAAAAGATAATTTTGGCTCTTTGAAGAGCAATATGACCTTTAAAAAGAAACTATTTTTAATACCATCTGAAAGGGGACCTATATTAAAGATCTAGCGAAATGTAAACATCTTTTTTCCATTAAAAAGATTGCAATTACCTTATCTTTCTTAAATATCATATATTTTTTATCGTATTTTTAAACTGCGTAAACGAGTCGATTTAATAATACGATATAATGTATCGCTTTAATTATCTGATTGCAATGAACATAAACAGTTACAGAATTTACCGTCGACAATTTTAAGATAATAATATGCATTAATCAGATCTAAAAGATACGCGGCTATCCTTGAAGAAGCCTAAGCGATCCCAGTATTGATTCGCAACATTACATATTCGTGTAAAGGGATCAATATCTTCATATCTTGGGGCATACAATTTTGGTTTAAAAAGGGGGAAACTTCTTAGTGCTCTCGAGGGTGCATTTGGCCTTATCTGACTCCAGATAGAAGGACAAGCAATCTGAAATTTAAGAATAAATTGGGAAATTGTGTATCGAAAAAGAAGAAATACATCGGCTATTTGCAATCGCTATAAACGAGAGTAAACAGATATCCAAATATCTAGTTTCATCATCGATTGCGATCAGGTTTGTTTGACCATGTTTAGGGAATTTTGTCCCATTCTAGGGCGTGAGGAATTATGTAACGTAGCAAAGTTTAACGAGCCCCGTGAGCCTCTGGGTATTGTAACCGTTCGCGTGATCAGCAGTGTCACAAGACTTATCTCTTTGTAGCACGCGAGGCTGGTCGAAGTAACGTCCAATATCTGGGGCACGAAATTTAAGTTTCACGGGTTGGCGGAGTCGGTACCCGCTAACTTGGGTCAGGTTACTTATCGAACGTCGCTGCTGCATTTGCAACCGCGACAAATGACCCTAGTGATGACAGAGTTGCGTGACGACGTGCCAGCAGGTACGTTATCGAATCGGCATGATCAAAATGCCAATTTGTCGTAAATCGAAACGTTTTTCTCCCAGGTCCGGATCCCACGTTCAATCCGAATCTGTTCTCCGAGGACGAGGAGGAATCGTTCCAGGAACTACAAAGTGCCTCGCGAAGCACCTCCGAAGCCCAGCCCCCTCCGATCGCACCGATGACGCCCCGTAACGCGCGACTGAACTCCAATCGTCCGAAATCTCAAATTTCCAATCAATTCATGACCACCGAAGCCTTACCCACCACCCTGTCCAGGGTCGACAATTACGAAAACGAGTTGCCCTACGTTGACCTGCAGGAAATGGGGAATTTGTACGAAAACTTGAGGACCACCTCCACGAACACCTATCGAACACCGTCGAGGCTCAACCCGCCGAGGTGTTGCGACGTGCCAGCCCTTCAGTCGCCAAAAAACGCGGTCGCCCCCACGCAAACCATAATCGCGACCTCGAACACGGGAACGGATTACTCCAACAATATTCAAAGGATGAAAACCGTCCTGGCTGACCAACAGACCGGCATGATCACGAAGAAGGAGCTCGAGAACAATAAGTTCAATCAAATTTCTCAGGACGACAAGACTGTATTGACAACCTGTCCCTCGACCATTATCCCTATGTCCATACACAACGGCCAAACTTCGAACACGGAGGCTTCTAGCAGCCGCGGTTGTTCCCAAGGCTCTATCGTGAACGGTCTGGAGAACAACAACGGTTGCCCTCAATCTCAGGCGATATTCCTCAACGGGGTCCAGGGTAAAACTAATCACGGCGTCAACCAAACGTCATCGATAAGCTCGTATTCCCATGGTCCGTACAACAAGAACGGCATACACCTGGCTAGCAATCATTCGCCGGCGTGTTCTTATCAGTTTCCAGAGAACATCGATCAATGCGTGGGACAATCTTGCTCGTACTGCACCTCGAGGATCAAAGACTTTAAATCGCACGAATCGTGCGGGAAAACGAACGCCAGCTACTTCGGCGCGTGCGGTTCCGCTAGCAGAGCTGACGAAATGCGTTTTATCGACGACGAGGCTCACGGCGAAGCCGCGGCGTTGGAATCGTCGCGAGGCGTTCACAGAACCCCAACTGTCGTTAGCATCGGTCCCCTTTGCATAAACGATTCCATAGTCAGAAGCTGCAGCGTCGGCTACTTGGACATGGTCGACGCGCAATTGGTCCCCTGCGACGTGGCATTGAAGATGCTTAGAAAGGAGGCACCTAACAAGAGACTGGTACTGGTTTCGAGGAAGACGAAAAGGAGAAAAAAGAATAAGACTCAGCACGAGATTGGCCAACAAACGTCCAAATCGCCGAGGCTTCGCAACTGCGGAAAGTCCAAAAGTTTGGACTCCAGCGACATATTTCCCGCTACCGAGCATATATCGTTGCCACCCCAGTTGCCGGAACACGTCGAAGAAGCAATCGGTGCTACCAGTCTCGAAACGACCGAGAACAAGAGTAACGAATCGCTGGAAGAGTCACCAGAAGCTGTAGAAGCATCGGTTGAATATGGGAAGCACGTCTGTCGTCTGCCTGCCGTTAAACCGAGCCCGATAGAAACCTGTACTTCACCCGTTAGGTAAGCGTGTGTCTATTTACTGATAAGACCAGTAATAAAATATCGTTCTAATTATTTTTCCTGCCAATGAATTTCATAGACTATCCAGTCCAAGCGGTTCGTTAGCGTCATCCTTGGACGGTCTTGCAGCTCGACTCCGAGATTTCGACGAAAGCCACTCTCTACCACCACCGTCGCCTCGACCATCGTCCAGGTAAAACATATTATATCATACGAATCGTTTGACAAATCCTCTTTTCTCTAAGAACTTTTTTCAGATTGCCTAGAAGTTCTCCCAGTAGTCCAGCACCGTCGAAGAAAGGCAAAAGACCGGCGTCGGCTTCGCCGATTAGAAGAAGGCTACTATCAAGTCCTTTACTGAGCAGAAAAACGCGAAAGAGCCGGGGTGAGAGTTCGGACGAGGAAGGGCTGCTTCAAGACGAATCGTCGGGAAGCTACCGGGACCTCGAAACGTTCCAAAAGGCACAATTACGCCAAAAGGTTGGCAAAAGTTATAAATATAGGTATACACAGTATCAATGAGCAAACTTGAATATTAGAGATAAGCGTTGAGAAAATATGCATGAAGTAAATTACTTTTTACCGGAGTTATAAAATAAACTTTCTAAATTCGTTAAACTTGGTCAATTTCCATTCGATTCGTCCATATAAAGATTTTAATATTACTCAGAGGGTCGCGAAGAAATAGTAATGCGTTTCTAATCACGATGTGCAGTTGAAGCAAAAGAGTGGAGGAGCATCTGCTCACAAATCGGAAGCAGTAAGGCGGGAACTTGTGATGCATAATAAGGCGCCGATGTGGAACGAATCTAGCCAGGTGTATCAGCTTGATTTCGGCGGCAGAGTGACCCAAGAAAGCGCGAAGAACTTTCAGATAGAATTTAAAGGCCGACAGGTAGAAAACGACTGTCTTTAAACGATAGCCTTGGTCCGCGCGATCCGATAACTAAAATCTGTTTAAATCTTTTGCCAGGTGATGCAATTCGGAAGAATAGATGGGAATGCCTACACATTGGATTTCCAATATCCTTTCAGTGCTTTACAAGCCTTCGCCGTTGCCTTGGCTAATGTTACACAACGGCTCAAGTAACTGTTAGTCGCTGATACTTCATTTGATACAGGTATGGAAATAATATCAAGAGTTAAATACAACGAACGTTCGATCTTAATTTTCGTCAATTCTAAAATATTCAAACACGATTTTCAGATTCGCGTGAAATTTGTAATACACGTACCAGAAACGCAACCCGGAACGTATGCTGTAATTAAATCGAAATATTCGTCCAAAAAGAAAAAAAAAAAAGAAGAAAAACCTAGCAAGTCGTAGAGGAATTAAAGCTGTAACAATACGCTACACATAGAATTACAATGAATGAAAGACATCTTTAAATACAGCTTTTAAGCGTGTAATAGAGCCGTATGTCTTTCGATTATTAAAACTAGTGACGGGCTAGAAATAAGTTCTTTAAGTAAACAAGCGAGCATCAACCAGCCATCGCCACGATAGAGAGGGATTTTTGCACCGAAATCTCGAGCCGAATGCATATGGCCTTGTGTGTAGCACGAAAACGAAAACACAAACCCTTCTTAAGGCCTTACGCGAGCCTCTCGAACGAACGCCTTCAAGCTAAAGTAAACTCGACATACACTAATTTCACTTCGCGGATCTTACAAGTAGAGAGTTAGTAGTGGGAGTCGCTAATTTCGATAAAATAGGTACTACATGCTAGACTTACACCTACGAAAATAACAGATTAATATTAGTCGAATATGTCTATGAACTTTTAAAAAATCAGAGGTTAAAAGTTCACCAACAATATTGTACTTACGATTTTCGTAGGTACAGTTCTACTCGTCCCATATCAATTTTATCGAAATCAGCCGTTTGACACTACTAATCCTCCCCTTGTTAGCGTGGACAGTTGCAAAGGGACTTGAATTCGAGCGGGACACAATGGATTTTGTTGTAAAGGAACCGTAGTGAATAAGATTTCGTTGAATGCTTCTTCGCCGTACCGTCCAAAATATTTCGTTTCTCCCAACTCTTCGAGTGCTCATTTTTGTATAGTTTATGCGACACGTTGAAGTCTAGTAATGCTGTTGAAAGTTCACCTCGTTCATTTTTGCGGTCCGCCGGATGTATTCGAATTTTATATACATATATATTGACGGACCCGCTTATCGGCGCGTGCGTTTCATGTTGTTCGATTTAAATGTTTCTTAATGCATATTATAAAATTAATGATAACGCTAAATGGTAACTTTTAACGTCCGGCCTGTGTTCTTCCTTATCGAAGTAGGACAGGCGAAATGGTGATGGAGGCGGGGGTGGGGGGGGGGAGATGGTGGTATGGAGTCAGATTAACGCAAGGATGAAAAGCATTCGTCTGTATGCCAATGTGTGCACGCATCAAACTAACTGTCGTCTATACTTAACCCATGATCGTTGTACTTCATTCGCCTAATTGTAAGTAACGCGGAAGATCAACGTCAGGCCTACGCGAGAAGTGCTTAAGGGATACTTTTTCGTTGAATCAAAATTTCGAGAGTGGGGCGCCTGGAACGATGATTAGAGAACATTATGATGGAAACAAATTCAACAGATCGTGAGCGATCTTTGAGTGACTAAGTGATTGTATGATAAGTTGAATATACGCTAGAAACGCGATTCTAAATTTTGTTGCCGTGTAGGTGCGCGTAGATCAATTTCGTTAAAGCATTCGTCAACATAACAGTAATTCATAAAATCGAGCATACGTTTGTTAAAGGATATGAACAAAATTATTGCACAGTTCGATCGAAGGAGGAATTGACTTTATAACATTGCATATAAGGTGCAATTTTTTCAGATATACGTCCTTCGCGTCCAAAGTTACGGGTGTTTCGAAATCAGTTTCCTTCGACTATGTTCACAATCACTGTTCAGGCCGCCCCATACTCACGAGTTAGCGATAAATATTTATATCACACATTGTCAGTAATCGTGTCAGTATATAAATCCACTAGACCATGCGGTAATTTTGATTTCTAGGCAACGTTGTATCCTGAATTATCTACTATTACCAGTAGTCGACAGCACGTACACATGTATCATCAATACTGAGTCAGTTTTTTCTTTACATAGTATTGCATTTGCACCGCGAAACACAAACCACAAGCTCATGGGAATAGTATTGTACAGGATGTCCCATAATCCATGGTACGATCGAAAAGACAATGATTTGCTTGCTCCATAAACAAAATGAAAAACATTTTATCGAACGATACTAATCTCAAACTTTACGAACTTTGTACATAAACAGTATGGAATCCATGAGTCAAGATTTATAAGTTTATGAATTATATTTTAAAAAATCGACTGTTTCAAAACCTAAGACTCGTGCAAAACAAATTTTATCCCACGTTTTCGATTTATAGATTCGACAAAAATCTTCTCTTTTCGAACTGTACTACGGATTTTAGAGTACCCGGTATGAGGAAGCCTTAGTTTCAAAAAGCAACGAACATCTGGAAAGAGAACGACACGCATTTTTAAAGTATCACCATGGATTGATCGGACCACGTAATCGTGGGTTAGCAGGTTGAGTACCGTAATAGATACCGGTATCTGTTATTAATATTTCTATTCAGATCATGTCTGTCAATAGCGACTAACACTTCGACATACATCACTTTCATAAATAAACCCTTACACTAGCAACCTTCTAAACAATATCAATACCATTGGAAACACTGTGAAATAATTTTGACCATTGAAATATTGAATATTCTAGTTTTTACATAATAATTTAAATAGAAAAGTGTGAAAGGTTCGCTCGGTACTCAACCCGCTAACATCCTTCTGAGAGTTCGTTTGAAGTTCGCCATTGGTTCGTATGTTTATCGAAGAACATTTTGTATATGATCGTTACAGAGTTTCCTTTATTTACACGAACGAGATGCGACTGAGGGATCATTAAAAAAATATAAAAATAAAAACAAAAAAAAAAACCCAAAAAAAGAAAAAAAAAGTGGAATTATAAAACGACAAAAAAAGGAAAAGAAATAAAGAATCACGTTATAATGAAAGTTCCACCGATGGTTAACTTTTCATACTTGCACGAAATTTTGATATGAAAAGATCCGCATCAATGTGACCCACTTATTTTTAATATATACGTCCTTATTGCATTTGCCGAACAATACGGGCTTAAGTCACGCGATAGGCAACGTTTACGTCGATCACAAGCAATTCTTCGCGCACCGTTATCTTCCAAGCTCTGTTAAAGTTAAAAAACAAAGAACCGGTGTACTCGAATTAGAGTCAATTGATCGCTCAAAGCCACTGGGACATCTCGATTAAACGGTTCTGTGTATCTTACCGCTCGATTGTTGTTTTTTGAAAAAATTAGCACAATGTGAGTAACGAGTTTATTGCATCTTTGAATAATCATTTGAATTTAATTCGACTATTGTATTTCTGGATCATCGCAGAGTGCTTTTTTGGCGATAAATAGAGTGCCTATACGTATGTAAATTGAACGGAATAATCTACAGTAGTCTACGTTAACTGTCGGAAGTTGCTTGATTGTATTGTTGTACAGCAATTGTTACTTCAACATATGTATTATTAAACCGACCGAGGCGTTTGTAGCCACTCGCGCCAATCGTGACTGAGTTCCAAAATGTTCGGCCTAGCTCAAGTCAGACTACACGTACGTTGATCTATAGATGGTAGTCTCTTTTTTTCGTTGGTATATTATTCTCTTTCATTTACGAGCGTAATATTAAGATTATGCTTCTATAAAAACGCTATGCCACGTGTGAAATTCTGCGACTGAGTATTATATAATAACGACACGATATACATAGTGTGCAAATCGTATCAGTATTGTTTTCTCTCTTACGATGAGATTGTTGATTTATCGTCTTAGTGCTGAACAGTCATTCTGTACATGTGCAATGCAAATTTTGTTACCGAGTACATTGATGATTATCAGATATTTGTAAATAAAGAAAGAAATTCTACACGGCAATGGTAATTTCATTCCCAGTTTCTGTGTTTTATAATGCAATTATATTTAGTAATCGAAATTAAATACATTAACCTTTAAATGCATTAGTTAGTATATCATTTCAATTTCAACTTTGTTTTTACATACTTTTTACCCATTCAAGGTTCAAATGTTATACATTCATTAAATTAAAATTTCCATTGTAGATTTAATGGAATAAAAGCAAATGAATTCAAGCTATTAGCCAGATAAGATAACCGTGATTCAACAGATAACGCTATATTTATCGCCGCGAGCTTAAAATATTTCGTAGAATGTCTGTGTATAAAATGTCCTCGAGCCATTTTGTGGTATTTGTATAAGAAATGGTTAGGAGCTGCCATCTGTTAGTTGTTACTTTCACATAGAAATCATTTTGTTACGAAATGAAATACGCCACTCCATATATTGAGAGTTGAAACTGGTTTTTTGGGTGCAAGGTGTAAGCAGTGATCCTTGCAAGAAATTGTTTCGACGTTTCGCCAAATTGCAATTAGTTCCTTCACAGGTCAATAAAATAGGTGTCAATCGTATAGTTATTATCTACTACAATTTTTTTTCGAAACATTGGCAGTGTTTTATATTTTCTTGTGAACCGTTCGGACTTCGGAATGCACGTTTGTAGTACACTTTAATGCCAAGTATCGTTTGAAAAATTTGGTACGTATACAAGAATTCAAATATTGCTCCATACATATATGTACATTGTAGCATATATGATTTTATAAATAGAACACCGAAGTAAATGTTACTAGAATCAGTACCTTATTAGAATGAATGGATTAGTAGAACAAAGAAAAGTACAAAGCGAGTGGAACGAAAATACTAGAAAGTGAAATACGTTAAAGGAGGGAGTATGAGTGTAGCGTGAGTGCGAAAGTGAATGTAACAAATGAGTGAGTAAATAGTGTGTGTGTGTGTGTGTGTGACTACTGAGAGTAAGCGAGGGAACAAGAATAAATAAACGTAAACACCTGTTTTATAAGCTAAAAATTTGTCTGGTAATAATAATAATAATAGACGTTAATGTACATATTACACTGTACAATTCGATTTGGATTTATAAAGTAAAGGCAAATAAAAATGTATAATATAAACAGAATTTTTTCAGATAAATATGAATACATTCTGTCTAAACCCTGTAAAGGGATTTATAAATAATTTGTTTCAAGACAAAGAACCATGGCAAATAGTGACTATAACAAGTACAACCATTTTCACCACAATTTGGTTGTGGAACTTTGTCGTTCAAGATGAAAGTGAGTTTATTTAATATAAATTTTAATATCTGTGATTCAACTATGGTAAGTGAAACCTACTGTAATTTGTTCCATAGGTCTAATAGAACGTGGAAAAAAGCAACTTTTTAGATTAAGAAATTACATACCAGCCATTAGAAATAAAATTAATAAAGGACTAAATAATATTAACTTGTCGTTTGAAGCAGAAGCTTTACAAAAGACAAAGGGTGTTCCATTTATTTTAGACCTTCCCAGTAATGGCATGGAAAAAGTTGAAATATTAAAAATAGTACAGAATTGTGTAAACTTAGGTAAAAAGAATAACAATAAAAAAATGTTACTTTCTATGGAACAAATAACAAAATGTATGTACTTTCATTTAGGTGGTTATGACTGGAAAAATGGAAAAGTATCTGGGACTGTGTATGTGTCTGATTCTAAACTAGTACATTTAATGGGAGATGTTTATAAAATTGCATCATATACAAATCCCTTACATCCTGATGTATTTCCTGGTATATGTAAATTAGAAGCTGAAGTGGTTAGAATAGCTTGTCATTTATTTCATGGTGATGAAGATTCTTGTGGTACAGTAAGTTGTTTTCAACTTTCAATAATATATAATAAGCAATATAGATCAAAATAAAACAGAGTTTTCTTTAGATGACTACTGGTGGTACAGAGTCAATTCTGTTAGCATGTAAAACATATAGAGACTATGCAAGACATATGAAAGGTATTAAGAATCCAGAAATGGTAATACCAATAACAGCACATTCTGCTTTTGATAAGGCTGCTCAGTACTTAAAAATTAAAGTACGTTTAGTACCTGTTAATCCACATAGTTATACAGTTTCTATTAAACATATGGAAAGAGCCATAACAAGAAATACAGTAATGGTAAGAATGTAAATATCTCATTAATTTTTACAGCTATATCAATAAACATGATATTAATGTAGCATCACAACAGTTAGTAGGATCAACTCCAAATTTTCCATATGGAACAATGGATAATATTGAAGCCATTTCTAATTTAGGGATAAAGTATAACATTCCAGTCCATGTTGATGCTTGTCTTGGTGGATTTTTAATTTGTTTCATGCCAAAGGCAGGTTTTAATATACCACCATTTGATTTTAAACTACCTGGTGTTACAAGTATATCGGCCGACACGCACAAAGTATATAAATAATATTGAAATTATACATTCAATTTTATTTATTTCAGTGTGAATATAAAATTCAACTCTTTTTTTTTAGTATGGCTATGCTCCAAAAGGTTCCTCCATTATTCTTTATAGAAATAAATCATACAGACATCATCAATACACCATAACGACTGATTGGCTTGGAGGTATTTATGGTTCTCCAACAGTAAATGGTTCGAGAGCTGGTGGAGTTATAGCTTCATGTTGGGCCACATTAATGTATTTTGGTTATGATGGATATATAAATGCAACTACAAATATTATACTAACCACTAAATACATTGAACAAAAGTATATACCTGAATTTGAAAGAAGTTTGTCAATTCTACTTTTTTATATATAATTATGTATATTTAATTAATTACAGTTTGAGAAAAATGGACGGAATATTCATTTTTGGCACTCCAGCTACTTCAGTTATTGCATTGGGATCAAACGATTTTCATATTTATAAACTTTCGGAAGCTTTGAATGCAAAAGGATGGAATTTAAATCCACTTCAATTTCCTTCTGGTATACACATTTGTGTTACATCTGTTCACACTGAGCCAGGCGTGGCAAATAAATTTTTGAAAGATGTTGAAACTGAATTGAGTATAATTTTGAAAAACCCAAACATCCCTGTCAAAGGAAAAGTAAGTATAACTGATAAAAACATAATATACAAATAATAATATATTTTCTTTTAGCTTGCAATTTATGGAATGAGTCAAACCATATCTGATAGAACTATTGTTGGTGACTTTACAAAATACTTCTTAGATTCCATGTATTATACGCCAAAAAATCAAACAGCCACAGTAACGGACCAGAAATTTAAAAAAAAATTGTATTTTTCTTAAATATTTTCAACCGAAATAGGTTGCTTCTTTTAATTGATTAGGCTATTTCTTCTTATGGGATATTTGATTTCCCTTTTTATTATTTTATTTGGGAGAATAGAAGGTAACATTTCAGTTATCTAAATTAGATGCATCAAAAAACTTAAAATAAACATAATGATCTGAACAGTATTATCTTAATAATACCTCCATCTATCATATTATATAAATTAATGATGTAACATATATTTTGTACAATAGTATTTTTACCTCGTTAAGAAGATAGTTTGATAGTACAAACATTTGTTCTAATCAAAAAGATACCTGTGTAACAGATTTCACAGAAACAACCAAGAATGAATTTTATAATGTATCTATAAAAAAGAGTTTTCGTCAATATGTCGATATCGAGTAGCATTTACATATTTATATCTACAATATATTTTGAACTTCTTTTTTACTGCGTTTGTTTGTACAATATTTGTAAAATGAAAATATAGTAATAAAACTTTAATTTATAAATTATTAATAGTTTGTGTACATTAACGTGATATGAATATTCAAAGTATATAAAATAAGATTCTATTAATTATATACCTTTAATAAGAATGTATAACGTTTGAATCGACCGAAATATATTTATTTAACAGAAGTATAATTGTTGTGCATTTACTAAGAATAAAAAATACCCGTGGTCACTATACTTTCCAAAAATACCAAGCATACAACCAGTTAACCATGTCGAAGGACGAAAGGTCCGAATCGACATGTTTGAGTTAGGTTAGTTTAAAATCATATGCAACTTACCAATTGTTGAGTACGATCATCAGCGAAGTCATCTGCATGGTCTTACTGGTTACCAGGATGTAGGGATGAAATCTAGAAACTGTAAAAAACAAAAAAAAAATTATAATCTCTTTTTAAAATTATAGACATTTTTAATATAATATAAAAGACTACATATTCTAAACTAAGCAAAGCTTCTTAATAATTTTAAAAAATTTTGATTGAGATGGCAAAATTTGAAAGAATAAATTTTTTCTAAACGTACATAGAATAAAATGTGATAGTATTTACATTTTTTGCTCGTGGAGCATCGCTCGAAATTCCTCTTCAGTGATGCACTCTAATACTGGTAACGAGTGTTGACTCTACTTTTGCGTTTTCCTAAACTCTAAATGATACTTTAATGAAAGCAACTGTGCTTCGAAAAACAGAAAACTATTAGACAGAACAAACACAGACTCTACAGACCGCATTGCGCGCGGTCATCAAAATTTCTGAAAGAAAAATTGGAATTCGAAATAAAAAATAATTAAGTTACCACACAGACCTGTCTATAAATCGATTTAATATTCATTAGTATTCATCAATAAAAAAACAAAAATATGTAAACAGCGGCGGTAACATGTATATAGAAAAAAATGTTCATAACAGTGACCTTGACAACATATTTCAAGGTCATCGAAATCGGTGAGGAATCACTAAAGTAAATAATTACCATAGTAATTCGCAACTCTAATTCGCAATCGCGTTTACTAAAAATTCGCAACGCTATTTTTAAAGCAAACGCCGGGTTCCTAGGTTTGCATAAAGACAATCACGAATCGTATTTATTCGCAGCACTAATATATCAACGCGATAAATATTTGTTCGCAACTCTACGAGCAAACGCGAACATTGTATATTATTCGCAACTCTAACTTTAATCAGGGGCTATTGGTACATGTACATAGACATGTACTGGCCACAAAATAAACTAACTACTACTAGTACTACAATTGGGGTAGAATTTGGGCATTGAAAATATCGCAACGCTAAATAAAAAATCGCACGATTGATCAAGATCGCAACGCTAATTTATAACGTGAAAATTACAAACGCGGTTGACATCCATTATTATATATATAAAAGAGTAAAAAAGCAACGCGAATCGTGATTGTTCGCAACACTACCCTGAAAAGCAAACGTGAAAAATAGTATTTCGCAACTCTACGAGCAATCACGTTTATCATATATTCGCAACGCTATTTTTAAGCAAACATTCGGTACCTAAGTTTGCAAAAAACCAATCGCGTATCGTTTCAAGGCGCAACACTACCCTGAAAAAGAAACGCGAAAAACAGTGATTCGCAACTCTACAAGCAAACGCGATTATTGGATATTCGCAACTCTATGTATATCATAACCGCGAGTTATGGGGACGGATGGCTGGCATGTATGGTGCAATCATGTACCATCAGGTACATGCATACGTGAGCGAGTCAAAAAAATAAACTAACTACAACTACAGACGAGTTAAGTGACAAAGTAGTAACAGGAATGACTTTCCATTCTCATCCGAGGATGAAGATGAAAAGCCATTTGTTGCAGCCCACTCTTGAGACAGTTTGTCAGGGCCTCTTCGGCTCATTGAGAGCCTTTTCTTTCTTCGGCGGTCCTGCCGATGCCTGAAACTTACGAAAGACCGGGCTCAAGATTTTGTGCAATACGTAATCTTCCAACAATATACGAATTGTTGCAAGAGCATACGTGGTGAATCTCGAGCGGGACGAACGTTTCGAAAGGGACCTAATCCCGACCGCGAGCACGAGAGAGCAACTTTAAGAGTCGCGCGATTCGAGGAGTCGAAAATAAAGCCGAAACAAACAGCACAAGTGCACCGTTTGAATCAGCAAGATTTCTACTCTCGAAATCGTAACTACAGGAACAGAACTGCCACGCGAAAACGCGCCTACCCGAATTACTAATGTGGACAGTCCTGCCCTGACCCTACCTACTTAGGTTTAAACACACACACCAGAGAATAAGTTACCTACCTACCTAACCCTATATTTAAAAAAATGCAAAACTCAGTCTCTCAAACAAACACTCCACGGTTCTCATTTTCAATGTCCGGGCGCGACCTAAACTAGAGAGGACTCCCCGGGGTTCCTCCGACACCCGGACACAACCTCATTCATACTCTAATTGTGTACGTACCAGTTTTTGCAGTGGACTGACAAAGCTAGTGCCCATTGCGTACTTTTATTATTTATGTAAAACATTTTAATATATCTGATATAGTCTTTATTAAAATATACTCTATACATATATGATTATATAAGATTGAAAAGCTAATTCATTATGCATTTTACAATATTATCGACGTGTATGCAATACGAACAATTGCCAAGTAAATATTATTATTGTGATTGTTATGAATCTAGTGTCAAAAAATTCTGTATCTGAATTGTGATGAACTTTTGATACGATGCACTTCCACAACCTAACCACAAACACACATATGTGGACAGTACATCGTGCACGAGACACCTAGCATTGTCAGTCGCACAGATAAATTATTATTATAAATGTTACAAACTAAGTCATCGTGCCCCGTTGCATTCGCTCGTGCAAATAACACTTGGGCATGTGCATGAACTTAGGCAACGAACACGGGAAAGTATCCTGAAAATCCTGACTAAAACAACTGGTTATTAATAATTAACTAAACGTTATCTATTCTCAGTTAAAATAACTCGACTTGTTATATGTAATATATCAACAACAGAGTACGTTAATATTGAAATATATTATTATTCAAGAAAAATTTGTGATTGAAATTTAATTGTTCAAAATGTAAGACTTTAATAAAGATTTCATGATAAAATAATTTACTTTGCAAATTGAAATAAATTAGTTAAATTATTATTCAAAATATTCAATTAACCTTGGTCGATTCTGTCGTCAAAGTAAATTTAAAAAAAAATAAAATTAACATGCATGTTCCTTTGAGTTGAAAATCGACCAGTCGCGAAACGCCTTCTTGCACATAAAATACATCATATGATGTATTAATTAATAAAACGAATATTTAATAATTATATTAATGATGTAAGATATTTTACTCAATCATACGATTAATATAATGTTTTCACATTATATCAATTCATATTCTACTCAATTATTTAATTCATATAAAGATAATAAACATATTTCATATATTTTATCAAAATTGTGTAATATTTATTGATAACATTAAAAAACGCGAGTGCAAGAAGACCCTAGCCTGCACTAAAAAAATATAACTCATGGGTATTTTTCATACCCGCGGTCACTTAACTCGTCAAAAATACCAAGTATACAACTGGTCACCCGTGTTGATTCGGATATTTCATCCTACAACATGGTTAGGGACCAGAGGAAACAAAATAGCATGCGACTCACCAACTGTAGAATTCAAGCACCCGGGCGACGATGTTGCCCAGTAGGAGTCATCAGCGAAGTCATCAGCGACGTTAGAAACGAAGTCAGCATCAATCAGTATATCGATATTTCATCTTTAAGAGACACTATTGAATCTATCGAATAATCGAAAGTCGGATGCTGCTCATTGTGACGTCGCAGGAGTATAAAGATTATAAATCATTAATTAATTGTTTGTTTCATATCTTTTTATATTAATTTTATTTACATCATGTTTTAATTTTATTTATTTTCAGTTCTTCGAGATATAAGGTTTAACCTTTCTTTCGAAAATACACATCAAGAGTCGAGACGGACTACGTGACTCCCTCACCCCACTCCCCACTCCTCGCGCGAGATCGTGTCCGATCCTGTTCGTCATTCTTCGTCTGGAAAGTGGTGTGAGAAGTGCGTTAACAGCTTCGCGTCTAATTAGGTACGTATTTTTTATTTTTGACCATTTCTATTCTCTTCGTTATTCTCTATCGATGCAATTATACAATATTAATAAGTGTCTGTTAACAAATTTGTGTTTTATTTCTGTGGCAGCTCGTAATTACAATTCAACCACATGAGACTCTCAACTGCGGCCAAACTACGGTCACGCTATAGACGCGACGCCATAATGCTTTGAGAGTTTGTGAACACGTTTCGAAAGGAAACCTGTATCTATACGAAAAAGAGTATTTGGCGATGCTCACGTGCGAAAAATGTAAGTATCCTTTGTATTTTGTTCCGAGTACGCTTAAAAAAAATTGTTTGATTTAAATTTGCCATCAAGTTTTCA